AAGGCAGACATATCTTGTAATTTTTAACCAGAATGTCATGGTTGACACTGTCGAATACTTTGCTCATATCAAGGAGAACTACAACTGATGTTTTCTTTTGGTCAATTGCGGTGAGAATGCGATCAGAAGTGTAGATCACTGAAGTCTCGGTGGAATGCCATTTTTTATCACAACTTTGATGGACGGAGAGACAACCGTTCTCTACCAGGTAGGGCATAAGTTGATTTAAAGCGATACACTCGCATAGTTTTGAAAGAACAGGTAACAGTGATATAGGGCGGTAGTTATTTGGCTTTTCTAGATCGCCTTCTTTCAACCCAGGGATCACTTCAGCTGTTTTCCACTCTAATGGAAAGATATTGCTTGCGAGGGACTCGCTAATTATGGAAGTCACGGATGGCAAAATAGCAGGAAGACTATGCTTGATCACTCGTATACTGATTTTGTCAATCCCCGTGGTTTTGTCACTTGGCATTGATGTAATTACCTTTTAGAATTCATCACAATTGACGGGTCTTCATCACAATTGACGGGCCTTGTTTTTCCCTCTTGGAGGAGGATCCGTTTTTCACCTCTGAGAGTGTCTTCTTAAAAAAGTTTTCGGGTTGCTTCTTTCTGCCTCTCTATGCCAGGTGTGTTTTGAACGAATTTTTGTTTTGAAGAATTAGTCGTTAGGAGTCGAAACAATTCGCCTTTAGCGAAGCCTTTCTTTGCCCTCAGTGGGTGACACTTTGTGCAGAACGCGTGCTTGAATGTCTCTGCTGGTTTGAGGTGGGTTCTTATGTCAATAACAGACTCCATGTTAAATCTTTTACCCGTATAGAGAGTTGTGCCTAAGAAAATAGCTCTCTAACAGATATTTCGGCCGTAAATTTGATTGCTGGGAGGTGTTTATTTTTTGTTCAATGAACTGGTTGACGACATCTGTTGGTGTGAAAGAGAGAGATTATGTTGTCGATGTAGTGTTTCCAAACCAGCGGTTTGTTAGCACTTTAATTGATGATATGCGTTTCGAATTTAGCCATGGAGATGTTTACAAAAGCTGCTGCCTTTTTGGTGACCACGGCATTTCCCTACGTTTGCAAGTACCTTTGTTCGTTGAATTGGAATGAGTTTCGTCGATGCTTTCTCTGGGAAGGGCTTTGGAATGAGGGAAGCATCTCTCTAAAAACTTCAAAAGCTGTGTATACTATGCTTCTGCCCTCAACTTGTGAGATGCTTGTGTATAAGCTCGTAACATGCATTGAAACCAGTATCACTTCTTTCGGAAGCTTTTTTTTTTCCTGAGAAGTTCATGAAGTTTGCTGTAACTTTGAGATATGACCTTTATTGTTGTGCGATCGGCCGAAGAATTTGATAGCTTTTCTGTTGGTCCTCCAGAAGGTGGAGTTCTTTTGTTTAATAAGTAAAATGATACAACAGCACGATTTCTCTTAATATTACCATTTCCATTAAATTTATTTCTAATTAAATCAATTATATCCTCATTGACATATGTTAATTTATTTAACACATTATAAATATCAAACACACTAACTTTGTACCTTTTTATAGTATCTTTTGTGACACTATCATCTAATTCGATAACCCTTTTCAGTTCTGTTTTAGGTTTTTTCACTATCAACAGCTTCATCTGCTACATCATCTGTATCATCAATAAATGGATATTTGCTCAAAAGTCTCCTTCTTTTTGTTTTTCCTTCCATTCTTTTGGCTTGTTCTACCGTAAATGGTTTTGTGTGTACACTTTTGAAGCAATAGCTTGTTAGAAGAATTTCTCTCTAACACTCGGTAAAATTCCTTTATTTCCTTGACCTGAATCCTCGGT